AATGGAAACGATGAGGGCACAGTGGAAAAATGATTATAAAAAAAATCGCTGCGGCCCTAGACATTTTCACCGCTTGTCATTTAAATCAAATGTTATGGGCCCATTGGGCTTAGCCGGTGCCATGGGACACTGAGCACGATAATACAGACACAGATTATCAGCACATCTGTGTCTTCGGCTGTGATTATTATGAATCTGTATCCATCCCCCGCAGTATGCCATGCATGAAAAAGCATTCGTGTGTCAGCTTATGTTGTCTTCAGAGTTATGATTTCTTCATAGTACTTCTCCACTTGCCACATAAAGTGACTTATCATGAAGGCTCTCCCTCTCTGCAGGCTGCTTCCACTGATCGACCAAGAATTTGATGAGGCATATTTTGTTTTCAGGGTTTCTCAGGAATTGTTTCCAGTGCAAAATGTTGTGACAAGGTGCAATGTTCTTCCACTGCAGTTCCAGCGATGGAACCTCTGTTGCATCTCTCTGCATTCTTGATGGACTCATCCCTGTAGACATCGAACACAACATCAGTGCCTTCATGCAGAGCTAGTATCAGTGTAGCATCTGTTAGATGTGCAAATGACTTGCCATCCCCTTTGAGTCTATGGACAAGGCTCATTCCATCAATGATACAAGCTGCTAGTGACACAATTTTCTCCAGCTCGGTATGTATTGCGCAGAGAGCAAAGCTGTTGCCAGTGACCACGGTATTGGTCCGAGTGGGCGTGCTAGAACCTCTCTAATAGATAGCGCTCTGCTGGGAGCAATGATGATCATGCGCCCAAAGAGGTTTCGGTCTGCCTTCACAATTACCTGATTCCCTTTAGCTCTGTAACCAGCCTGCTTTTTATTGATGTTGAGGAAGGTCTTCAGGCTCTCTTTTTTCATCTTGTCATGAAAATTTACCTTGGGTTGTTCTTTTTCCAAACGATCTTTTCAGTATGCTTCTTTTCCAACTTTGTGAACTTTCAGCAGGTCATTGGCAATATGTGGTGGGGCCAGGATACAGTAGACAAGTTGACCAACCCCGTTTCATCATGGCTCGAGCTCAGCTGTTCTCGAATAGTTCCCTAAATGAACAAACATAGGTCTCATCTTTTCTTATCCGGCTTAGTTGCAGGTCCGGATAATTAAAGTGGTGAACTTTTTCTGCTGACCATGTCTCTCAACTCCCTCAAAATAATATGAGCCTCTGTACTCAGATGTCAGGTAGTACCTACTGTCAGCTCCTGGTTTTAGGCTGAAGCCTGTTGTCCCCCCCCCCCCTAGTGGTCTGTGTGTCCTTGTTGATGGTTTCTTCAATTTTCTGGTCGACTGGGATTCTGCCAAAGAGGTCCTACCAAGTTGTACAGAAAATCTCTGTTCCTGCATGAATTGTTCATGCACATCTCGCCGATCAATTGGCCAGCCGGGACATATGTGCATAATAACTATAGTAGGGAAGAAAGCGTGCATAGTTCAGTTTGTCGTCGGCGAAGCACCAGGGAATCATTGCACGAATGAAAGCGAGGTGCAGCACCCAGACACCCTCTCTAGATGCCCGAACCAGACCTACCATAACCTCGACGATGTCCACATATGACATCCAGAAGGCCGAGAGGGTCCAATTCTCCTGTATCACGTAATCAAGGTAGACATCAAACAGCTTGAAGATGGGCTCAAAGGACTGATTCTCCGTCATCTCACAGCCAGCAGCTTGTGAAACATCTCCAGATGGGCTGTTCTCGACTATGAGGCTTTCTTCCAGGTGAACCTGGTCGTCAGTGTGGTTAGTTTCTAGACAGGGTAGAAAGCCTTTCCATGCCTGTCGCATAAATGCCTCGTACAACAACTTGACTGCACGGTTGTACTTGCCGCATTCCATCACTCCAGCTACAGAGCTAATAGCAATGACACCTGACTCTACACATAGGTCCCTTAGTCCAGCACCTTGAAACATCTTCTCAATGGGTGACCATGCACAGTGTGCATATGCCAAGAGATATACATCCCAGGGTCTTCAAAGTTTTGATACAATAGCAAACAAATGGTCATTAAGCAGATGAATCTGTGCTGGTTCCAGCATTGCATACAATATACTGAAGTTTTCTGGCATCTAATGTAGTCATCACAATGTTATATCTTTCTAAACCATAAGAAACAGCTTTTTGAATATGCAGTGGCAGAAAACTGTTATGGTCATTTTGCTCTGTTTTTATGCAAATGTATGAAAAATAGCGGTGATGTCCTATGTTAATGTCCAAAATAATGCTTTAGCTGTGTTCCCTGTGCCTGAAAACCTGGGTATAGACATCAAAATGAACTTTCAACACCTCTCCTATCCCAAGATACAGCCAAAATATGGCATATAATACCCCACAGGGCATTTTGTTAACTCTAATTCATGTTGCCATGGTAACATCGGGAAGGTACAGTTTCATATGCTTGGCTTATATGATAGATTAGTCATATAGTTTTTTAATAATTTGGAAAGGGTACTTAAACTTGTCCTGAATGGGCATATTGTTTTTCATATTACTGAAATTACTCAAAAATCCTTGATTTTAGGCTATCCTGGGGTCGTTACCATGCCAACCATTATAAATGGTAATGCAATTTGCATTTCATTACTTTTCTTCATGGTGAGGTATTCTAAACTTTCATTCTCTGGGCCTGAAAACCAGGATATAGACACCAAAATGAACTTTCAACGCCTCTCCAATGCCAAAATATAGCCAAAATATGGCATATAGTACCGTACTGGGCATCTTGTTAACTCTAATTCATGTTGCCATGGTAATAATGGGAAGGTACTATAGAGCATATTCTTGGCTTATATGATGTATTAGTCATAAAGTTTTGTCATTAATTTGGAAAGGGGACTTTTACTTGTCTTGAATGAGTGTATTGTGTAATATATTACTGAAATTACTCCAAAATTCTTGATTTTAGGCTATTCTGGGGTCGTTACCATGGCAACCATTATAAATGGTGATGTAAGTTGCATTTCATTACTTTCCTTTATGGTGAGGTATTCTAAACTGTATATTTTCACGCATTCAAAAGTGTTTTTATAATTTGTAAATGACTTTAACTGTTTCTTTGAATAATACCGGTTTTATTGTTGTGTAGCCATGGAAACTGCTGATTATATGACTAAGCTGCCAGTCTGGAAATGCTATCATATCAAAATATTATGTATAGATGTAGGACATTTCAAAATGCATAAGTAGATCTTGCCACCTTGAGTGGTACCAATAACTCAAATTTCTGGTCTTGGCCCATGGACTATAGGGGGCTTACAGAACCCAAGTCAGACCTGGGCGGTATTCTGAAAATTGTTGTAAGTTTTGTGTTATCTTTTGTTGTATCTTCCAGAGATAACACAGCGCTAATATTGTTGTAAGTTGGTATTCTGAACATTGTTGTATCCCTGTGTTATCTCTTGAAGGACCGCCTCTATCTTATCTTTGACCCAAACCTTCAATTAAGCGGGCGCAGGGCGCAAATTTGCGCCAATAAAACCACCAATTGCGCCCATAGTCATCTAAAACTAGACAGCAAGGCGCAAGTGTTTGCCATGAAAATGCGCCCATGAATTAATAGAACAGAAAAAATACACGAATCACAAACAGTTTGCTGTGCACAAGCTCTCTACTAGCTTTGTATTTATGCTTTAATAAGGCGCTAGTGTTTCCGTCAAAATGCACCCTTTGTTACTATAGGCTAGCGCACGTACGTACGTAGATCTACTCACGTTCAGATGATGCGATCGCTAGATGGTGCTGTGGCGCACGCACGTACGTACAAATGTATCGAAGGATCAAGAAAACAAATCGTCAAATGGAGAAATAAACAAGCATTCAAATAGTCATTAGAGATCTGTTGAGGTTTGTTTGTAGGTCAAGTTTATTATTTCATCTCAAATAGAATTTAGAATTCTCTTATTGATAAGTTGAGAACACCTACGAGTTCTCGATCGTAGTTACTCTCATTTCGCCAACAGCCGACCTAGCCTTGTTTTGGCAAAAAGCTAGCCGGCAAGCTTCCCACCGCAAACCTTTCGAGTCCCGATAAATTTGCGCACTGCAAATCCCCGAAGGTGCATTGGTCTTGTTGGCAAACTCCCAGCCCGCTAGCTTCCCACCAAGGACCTTTCGCGGTATGGCGAGAGTGTGTGTGCGAGGAACGCTTTTGGTTTTCGAGAATGCACGTTACGCAACTTTATGATTTTTAGTAAGAATATTTGGTCAGTTTTCTTCTTATTTCTTTGGTTATACAACAATTAAAAAGATAATTCTTCAAATTTGCTCCTACTGCCGAGAGTGTGACGGAAGGTTTGTGTGTGAGGTGCGATTTTGATTTGGGATAAACTTCCCAAGTCCTTATGACTTTCGATGTTTGTGAAATTGCCAATTTATTTATTCATTTGCTCATCAATATTTTTGGTTACTTTAAAATACTGTATAATGTGCAAGTTGATGTTCTTAATCAATCTTTTCTGTTGATCTTGTTAAGATTAAAAAGTAATTAAATTTATCGTAGATCTAAATCTATTCACATTATGAAATTAACATTGTATCTTTGAACATATTTAACTTGTGTAATTAGTTGTCATTATCTGTTTTGGGAAAATTGACCCTGGTTCTTAAGAAATTGCCCCTTGCTCTGGTAAATCCCTGTGGGCACGGGGCAACTTTTAAAAATAAATTGCCCCTTGCTCCTGGCTGCTTAATCTAAGGCTTGAGGACACTGCTAAAGTTTAAATTTGACACATAGGACTTACATGACATATTCATAATTCCAGCAAAGTTCTACAGAATCTGATGTTGACTGCAAAAGGGACATAGTATCTTTAAGGCTAGTTTGGATATAAGGCGGTAAATTGCCACATTAAAAACAACGCCAAGGTCTTTTTTACATGTAAATGAATGGCAACTGAGTGCAACAAAGATCCTGCGCATATTCACTGAGCTCTGTGTTACTGCAGTATTGAAGGTCATATCTGAACAAAGCTTTACTTGTTTGCGTGAAAATGACATCCTCCATTGTCCCGTCATTGTATTCTACGAAGACCACATATCTCCTGCCAGGTACCAGCCCCTCGAAGGTGTAGAACAGCGGGCACGTCTGGTTGGTTGGGAGACACATGGGCAAGTCACCTCGTAGGGTGCTGCAGAGTTCCTTCAGACACACTTGCTGACCGTTGGTGGCAGCATGTAGCCAGATGACCTGAAGGTTGGTGCTGTTGGTGCTGGAGACGTGGGGCTCGTTGTTGTCGTATTGACCTGTTGGAAGGTTTAGCATTCAAGATCCAGATTTAAGAAGCAGGTTTTATTGTCAATATATACATGTGGTTAGAAACATGACTTCCATAGGGTTACATACAACATAGGCATATGCAATTTAAAGGTTTGAAGACTGAGAAACTGTGGTGGAAGTGGTAATGAGAAGTAAATTGAGAAGGATGGGTCATGTGTTGAGAAGGGAAGATGATGAATGTGTGGAATCTGGAGGTGGATGGCATAAGAGAGATAGGAAGATAAAGGTTAGTCTAAATAAGAAGGACGCTTGAGACAAGAAGAAGTGAAGAGAGGGAGTGTCATCACCACACGAAAGTCAGTAAGAGGGAAAATGCTGACTTTATACAAATTACCCAGATAGTAAAATTAGAAATACACATGTACATGTAGCCTATTGGTCCTGATATGCTAAAAATAGATATCTATATCTAATATACCGGTAATTGCCATCTCTACGAAAATCGGATCGCACAAATATAGCATAGTGTGCGGTGGGCTTAACTTATTCTTGCACAACGAAAAAACCCAACCTCTGGCTTACCTGTTGTGATCGAGATTGACTGTGCAGAATCGCTTGTCTGTTCACCAAACCCGTCAGCTGCATCCAAAACAGTCTCTACCTCAAAAACGTACTCCGTGTTGGGTCTCAGACACCCCTGGCTGTACGTCAGGTCCAAGCTGTTACTCGGAATCGTGGATACAAGTTCTCTTCTGAAAGAAAAAGGGGCATAGTACATCCTGTAGGATGAGAAGGTTGTGTTGGTAGGGGCCCACTCAAAGGACAGACTGAAAGGTCCTACGCTGGTCAGGATTGGTGGCTGTGGGGTTTCAGGATCTGTAAATTTAAAAAAATGATAAAAACCGTCACTATCATGTAATTTTTGGTTAGGCAGGAATTCCCAAATACCAAGTACCTCTGACAGGATGTATTAAACTGTGCTTCACTAGAGCAAGGCGAGATTAGACATCACTATCATCAGAGTACTATTTTATCTGGTAAGGCAGCGATCTTCAATTACCAAGCCCCTTTGAGGTATGACACTTTCATTACCGTAAATCTCAGCCGCTATGCAAAACTCGCCAACATTTCATGCATGCAAAAGTTTTGGGTTTTACAGAAGGTTCTTATGGAGCCTGGTCAAGGACTTCAAAAACAATTATCATTTAAAAAATTGAAAAACAGAACATTTTCATGCCTGAAATTTGCAAATTTTGCAAATGATCAGGAGACAGGAAGTTTGGGGTTTCTGAATTTGGAGGTGAATATGTGTCACGAAGAAGAATTGTATGCAAGCAAAAATGTAACCATTGAGGCAGTATTTGCTATATGTACATGCTTTGTATTTCATTAAAATCATCTTTCGCAATGACATAACAGTTGCCTTCTCAGTCAAATGCGCACAGCTATTAAGACAACGTAAGCAGCTGATATGCGTATGGAAGCATTGGTGATTCAATAGGATATGCCTTTACAGAATATCCTATTTTATGTAGCTCTAAACAGCAAAATGGTGGCAAGAAAAGACATATAGAGAACGAAAAAGGCATGATAATAATCAGTAATGTCAGTGAGTTAAAAATTCTTATTTCATACATTTCATGAAAGTTTTGGTCATATCAGGTCTAATCAAAGTTATATTACAGCTCCATATCATTACTGTATGGCCTACATGTACACACAGTGAATCAAATTGCCAAGGCTGTCATAGCCCCCACACGGGTTGTTTTATTTTCATTTGTCATGACTTTCCACAACTTTCTGGAAAGAATTTTCATTTTCCATGACTATGGAAACCCTGAAGTAATATATGCAATAATTTATAAAATACTCTACATCATAAACAACCATTATGTAGCACCTTTATCGAAAGTTACAAGGCACTGTCCCTTTCATCTAATGACAAATTAAGAAGAATTGTAGAGGTTTGTATTCAGTGTTTTTAAAGAAGTGAAGTGAAGTAGTATTTCTCAAAGTGCAGGGAGTTTGTTCAATGCACGCCGAGCAATGGATTGGAAGGATTTGACGTCGTAACTTTAAAATAAATATATCAGTATTATGATAACCATCAAATATAATAGAAAGGTGAAAGAGCAAGCTTGGATACACATGTACTTACTTGTTCGAACAGAATTATTTGCCACCACAAATGCAAAAGTGGAATCGTAGATAGTGAAAACATAAATCTGTGATGACTTCACACCTTCTGTTACGATGAGCATGTTGCCATCGGGACTCGGGGCAGAAAGTATGTTTGTCTCAGTTCCTATCATGATAAATAGCTCATATGGCGGTGAACCACTGTCCGGCCAAATGGCAGTCATAGATGAAGAAGTCACATCTACAAAGACGAGCTCCCCGGTCGTCAAAATATCTACGGATCAAATGTAGTTATACAAGATAAACGCTACTTCGTCTCCAGTATGATACTGCCTACATGTTCAAAGTATATTCAATGATCACCCCAAAATCTAAAAAGTTTATCCTTAAATAATTATATATACTAGATTGAAGTTATCGCAGTAACAAGATATTTTCTGGAAATTTTTTACTCTGTAAAAACTCTGTGACCTTTGACCAATTACACAAAATTAGTCAAATTAAAGTCACGCAATACTCTGTTATGGATGAACAATTTTTATTTTTATATGATATAATTTTTGCAAAGACAGGTCAAGCAGCATGTCATGAAGGCAACATTTATATTACTACATGTACAATCTTAGAGGAGGTCATGTATTTGAATTTTATGACTTGAAATTATCAATATTTGAGAAAAAATTATTTAAAAAATGCTTTTTGGAACACAATGGCTTTGGAACATTACTCATTTCCTGTCTTGATCAGCTCCATGACAACCCTATTACCATCAGTATAGATTAATCTTTCACCAGAAACAGATAAATAATCTTGAAGTCTTTGGTATATCGACTCAAAGATGTGGCACAGAGGGATTCTCTGTGTGGCATAAAAAGAGTTAAAGTGGGTATGATTAAAGATATGATGCGGTAAACCCCCACATTAAACCCCTAGGTTTTCTTTATCGTGTAAATTAATTGCAACTGCGCCCAACAGAGGTTTACTGAGCTCTGTGTCTCAAGATACAGAAATATGATGCATATTACAGTTTACGTCAACATGAAAAAATGCTGCGGTTTTGCAGCGTCATATCAGGACGAGCCTTAACCCTAATGAGGCGGTGGGGGGGGGGGGATTATGGCCCCCTCCCTAAGATCTCGGCCTTGAAACGGCCGATCGCAACAAAAATTTGAATGCAAGTCTAGGGAAATGTATAGAATATTATGGTATTTTCATTTTTTTTTTGAAAAATTCACTCATTTGTATATTTATGGTAAATTATGCAAATAAGGTCATCAAATTCACATTTGTACCCTTTAATCATATATTCTCCATATTTAAACATTCGTTTTCACTATATATACTTTTTAGACCATTTGGAATAATAATACCAAAACAAGAATTTGAAGACCCCCAAAACAAACACCTAAACTATAAACAAGACCAAATAACCAATGTTTTATCTCTTTTTTGAAAAAATGATATTTCCATATGTTTTGTACACAAATCATTAAAATTAGCAATTTTCGGGTTGACATGCAAAGACAAAAGTTCATGTGACTTTGTAACGGTATGTCTGATTTTCGAAAAATTTGTTTCTAAAGATGCGCAAGAAGCAAAAGAAATTAGTCACCAAGTGGCAGGGCGTCATCCTTAAGCGTTCCTGAACAATCAGAAAAATCGCGGAGAGGGGGGGGGGGCATAATGTCCCCCGGTCTGATTAGGGTTTAAGAAGGACATTCTTACCAGTTATGACCTGGAACTCAATCGGATCGCTTATTTGCTGATATAGCCCAGTGCCACTGATAGCCACAATAGACACATTGTAGTCCGTGCCTGGCAGGAGGTTCGTAACCTCGATGAAGTTCTGATCCGTGTCGAGGGTTGGGTTTATTGTCACCCTGTAGAAGGTGACGATGCCACTTGGTGTTCCCCATTGGAGACGGACAGACGTGACACCAGCAGATGGTGAGCTGCCATCGACAGGTGGCAACGGTTCTGCAATTGTTAAAGTACAAAGAAGAACATTATAAAAGTGTCAGATAATACACATAGCTACACACTGTATGATCCTGACTTTATTGCAGGGAAAAAATGTACACAGTATGCCATAAATAGGATTTCATGTCTATTTTTTGGCAACTGGTATAAGAGAAGAAAAATATTGCATCCAGCTGTTGGTTAAGATCCAACATTGCAGTACAAAAAAAAAATTACATGTGTCAAAAATGTCTAATACCAGGCTAATGAAAAGCGCTATATAAGAACTAGCTATTATTATTATTATTAATAATACTATTAGTAATTTGTAGGCACCTTGAGCATCCCCTGTTGTGCTTTAAACCTCAATGTACAGTTTAAATTAAAAGATGTGTTTTTTTAGCTGTGATTAAAAGAATATAGTATTTTGGGGAATGCACAGGGGGTGCGTATATTTGTGAGACTTAAGTTTTAACAATTCTTCACTACAACTAAGAGCCTGAGCAATATACGCTTTATAGACAATCAATGGAATCTTGAATAGCATTCTGTGACATAATGGTAGCCAGTGCAGAGCTCTCACCAGAAGAGTGATCCATGAGAATTTGGAGCCACCACAAATCAGTTTTGTACAAGTGTTATTAAACATACAGGGTGGTATTCCCGAAAGTGGACTAACTTTAGTCCATGGTTTAATCCACCGACTAAGTATGGAATGCCAAGTGTCCAAATGAATATGTTTTGAATAATTTAATCTGTCACTAAATTTTAAAAAAATGTAATAACATAATTAATAAACGACAATATAACTATGATATAATTATGTTATCATGCTAATTTAGGGACATTTCAATTCATTCAAAAATATATTCATATGGACAGTTGGCAGTCCATACTTAGTCGGTGGATTAAACCATGGACTAAGGTTAGTCCACTTTAGAGAATACCACCCACAATTATTATTATTATGAAACAGGGTGCTAGAATCACTAGAGGTTGATATCCATGCCTAATATGGTGGGTGTCATGGTGTACTACCGGTATGTTTATTATTGTTATTGTTGTTATTATTATTATGATCAGTAGTTATATTAAATAATAGTAGTAGTAAGAGTAAGAGTAAGAGTAGAAGTAGAAGTAAAGAATCATAGTAGTAGCATCTTTATGATCATCATTAATTAGTATAATCAAAATATTAGTTTTAGAAGTAGTAGAAGTAGTATAGTTTTAATAGTAGTAGTAGAAGTAGTAGTAGTAATAGTAGTAGTGGGAGTTGAAGTAGTTGTAGTAGTAGTAGTAGTAGTAGTAGTAGTGGTAGTAGTAGTAGTAGTAGTAGTAGTAGTAGTAGGAGTAGTTGTATTAGTAGGAGGAAACAGGGCCCTAGAATCACTGACTTACTTGCTCTTTCCTTAAGGGTGAATGTGACGTCTGTGCCTACAATGGTGGAGGTGATGGTGTATAGCTGTCCAGGGATGACATTGCTGTAGACTCCTGTCAGACTATCCTCGTTGAAGCTGATCACAGGGCCAGGTGGCTCTACCGCAAAGGCATAAGCCTCGAATCCTTCCAGGGCACTGGCGTTACCCACAACGAAGGGGATCTCATTGACAGTTACATTCGTGGGAGATACTTCCCCAGCTACCAGTGACTCTGTCGGTGAGAAGGAGAAATTCAAAATGAAAACACATACATGTAGGACTTACATGAATGGGATATGTGTCAGAGTTTCATTCTCCATCCTCACCCTGAAATTTACAAAATAATTCATTCTTATATACTCTCTGGTTACATGCAAATAACATTAAATCCTGATTGATTAAAGATTGTGAATGACAATGGGAAGATGACAAAAACAAATTTAAGGAGAGCATGAAGCCTGTTGATGTACACTGTTGCTCATAAAGTTGGAATATTTTTTTTACCCCAATTTATGGAATTATTTTGACAATGATTATTTTGACCATGACTGTACGCAGCGGGGGCTAGGGTAGGGGGCAGTTCCCACAAATAAAAAAACAAATAAAATGCAATAAATTTTCAATAATTCAGTGCATTTTACCCTGGTCCCCAACATAAAAAAATCGTCTGTACAGCCATACATTATGGCTCAAGGCATGGGCACACAAAACATTTTTTTCTGTTGGGGACCGGGGGGAAATTCAATGAATTATTGATAATCTATTGCATTTTCTTTTTTTCTTTTTTAATTTGTGGGAAGTGCCCCCTACCCCAGCCCCTACTGAGTACAGTCATGGTTCAGTCGCAAAGCAATGGCCTCGTAACTGTGAGGCCCCAGGATCAAAACGTGTCGATGTGCTATATTACTGCCCTTTTGCGAGGCATTAATCCTCATTACTGTCATTTATGATGGGCATAGGCCCCCTAGTTGATAAGCATAGTAGCATACACATGCTTTAGCAGTCATGCAAAACAAAGGCTGGCAGTGCTTATTTGATGTCATTTTTGACGGAATATTTGTTTGTCTTTTGATGATGCAGACTGATGTGTTGTCAAGGCCAAATAAATTTTTTAGTAACTCTCAATACCGGAAATCAAGAAAACTTTTTACACCATGGACATAATCTTGAACAATGTAGTTTTCAACACAAAATGCGGTGTTAAAATTTTAAATTACATAAACAAAGGTTCTGTTGTCTGTGTACTCTTTCACATTATACACGTTTGGGATTTTTTAATGTAAAAGGTAGCATTTGAAGGCTTGTGAATAACAAAATACTCAACTTTAATATTTCTCACTATTTTTAGTTGTTTTTGTTAATGAATTTGTATTGCTGTCATAGACACAGATGTTTCATTTTATCAGAATCACAGTTACTTGTATGCACAGACATAGGTACTCCAGCCATACTCACTAGTGACAGCGTTTTGAATACAGGGCACGGCCCCAAACTGCTGAGGAAAGTTGTTTGTGTCATCAGCTGCCAACCTTGAAATAACTGCCAGTGTGAGTTCGGTTTCTGGTGGGACCCTTATCTTAACCACTTCTGGGTTGTCTGTGGGAGGAACTGCCTCTTCTTGCACGAGGCCACCCTGTGAATCGGTGACGGTCACCTGGTAGCCATCGTTACTGCCAGGGGCTAAGGCTGACCAAGTAAAAGTGTAGCCTGAAGACGTGGTCTCCACGGAACAACTTTCAATTGAAGGAGGATCTGAACGAACATAAATTTGTTAGAGATACACGATGTAAATATGTGGCCATTTTCATAATGTAATCAACTTAACCCTATAAAGCCTAGGAGCCGCCCCCCCCCCCCCCTCTACATTTTTCGCGTTAATTTGTTAATGCCAAAGAATCTTGCAGTGAAATTTTGTGACTCTTTTCTTTCGAGTCCTGCGCATGTTTAAAAACAAATTTTCAAAAAATTGGACCTACCGTTACAAAGTCATGTGACATTTTGTCTTTGCATGTCAGCCCGAAAATTGCTCATTCTCCCCTTAAATAAACACCTAAACTATAAAAAAAAAGACGAAATAACCATGTTTTATCTCTTCTTTGGACAAATGATATTTCCATATGTTTTGTACACAAATCACAAAATGAACTATTTTCGTGCTGACATGAAAAGCCAAAAGGTCACGTAACTTTGTAACGGTACGTCCGATTTTCGAAAAAAAATTGTTTCAAGAGATGCGCAAGACTCAAAAGAAAAAAGTCATAAAGTTCGGCTCAAGATTTTTTTGATTAAAAAAATTATCATGAAAATGAAGCGAGTGAAGCTTTAGAAGCTATATGGGGTTAACGCTATTCAGTCCTATTAATATGTTCCATTCAAAATAAAGAGCTTCTTGAGCTCTTTTGATTGATGCTAGATTTGTCACAACTATTTCTGGAGTCATCAGTAAGTTAATGATATTCAGCAAGTGAGCAATTTCCCTGAAATTGCCGATTCACATAATGGCTTATACCTGTTCTGATGAGAATTGAAACATCGTCCGGCATGGTGAAGCGATAAATTGTGACGGGTTCCAGACCACTGACCTCAAGCACGTTAGAGCTGAAGCAACCGTCGTACACGTATGTGGCATTAAGGACATAACCACTGGGCATCAAACGTTCCATGGTGATATTAGCCGGCCCACTCACTGTCCAGGCCAAGATGACACTATCTGGTGTCTGGTCCAAAACCGTGAAGCGATTATTAGGAATCGACACTGCATAATGATATTATAGTACATGTAATAGTAATTAATAATGATAACAAAAATGATGATAATACTAATGGTAATTATTAAAATAATAATAATAGTAATAGTTATAGTACTAACGATAAAATTACTTCTATTATTTTTCTTTAATATAAATAGTCGTAAGAGTAATAATAATAATAATAATATTAATGATAATAATTACAAAAATAATTTAAATAATTAAAAAAAAAACTAATAGTAATGATAATAATAGTAATAATGATAATTAATAATAATACTAATGATATTATATAATAATGATAACAATAATAGTAATAATAATGATAATAATGCAAACTAATTCTATAGACCTAATAATATTAATATTTTACATTTAATACAGGATATACAATTTAACACATGATGCAAATACTTCAGTGTTCAGTGTAATACAATGTTATACACTTTAATAATTCTATCACCAAATATCAAGAGATTTTTTATTTTCGAATGAAATACGTGGTGAAAAAATCACATATCATACGGGATACATTGCAAGGGGAAATAAAGGAAAAAACATTTCAATATGTGTTTTACCGCTCAGGCTATGAATGAAATATATGCATGCTAAAATAATTCTTGATGATAGTCTGAGTTTTGGGAATGACCAGAAATAATTGTCAAAAATAAAACATATACAAATATAAAAGTACCTTGCTGAATGAATTTGACCAAAAAATATAAAACTCACGAGTCCTTTGTTCCAGAGTAACTTCTTCACTGGTTTCAGCTAGTTCTGATCCAGCCCATGCTACAACACTGATGCCGTACTCAACGTTGGGTCGAAGGTCATCGATGACGAAGGTCTTTGCATTTCCTGGAACTCTGTGTTCTTCTTCGCAAACACAGTGGTCTTGAGTAGCGTCCATGCATTGAATGGTGATGATGTACTCATCTAGAACACCGTGGCCAGGCTGGAGACCTAATGCAATGCTGGACTCCGTCGTGTTGAGAACAGTAATGTCAGGCATGCTCGAACCTATAAAATAAGATATAATAATAATGATACTACTATATACTAATCCTAAAATCTGAACTCAACGCCAAGAACAAGATCAAGGCAATAACCACACCTGTATGACAATTTATATTCAAAACTGGGTTGAAGAAATTAATTGTATTCTTAAAATATGTAAATTATTTTAAAAAGCATTAAGGATATGTAAAATTTAATGAAAATATACTGTAGAAAAAAAAATCATATTAATAGCTATTGTATTAAAGCATGTAAACACATTTTATTTTTAAACAGCCCCTGTACAGTATCAGAAATTTCAATAACAACCATGAAATTCTCTTTCCAATGATACCAAATAAGAGAGAGAGAAAAAAACAATTTAAGTCCGGTCATAATACAGATCATGTACGTTTTCCGCCCATGCATTACACGCATTGTCTATGGGGCGAATCTGGTTCACGCTTTTGGCCCCCAGAACGAACTTTATTTTTCTTGAAATTTTACAGCCACATTTTAAGTGGCCAAATGCAGAGCATCTCGAAGCGGGATTTTAAAAATCTGTCAAAAGTCCATTTTAAATGTTATTTCATACTCTGCATAACTAGTCCGAAAGATGCTCTTTCGTTTGACACGTAGAAACATGGCGTCATTGCACGCACATCATTTTGACACGATTGCATTTCTAGTTTATTAATGTTTCTGTAATATTAGTATCTGACCTCAAGAACTTCTCTCTTCATGCTCATACATACTTGAAAAATAAAAGTGAGAAAATACAACCTCATACCTAGAATTCTGGTGTCAGTAAAAATTTCGCTTTCTGCTTCATCCCCACCAATACCCACAAATGACGTCACATTGAACGTATACAGCGTATTTGGGGCCAAACTGTTGATGATCACCGACGTCGTGGCACTGCCCATCAGAGTCTCCCGCACTTCGTCGTTGACACGGATCTTAAATCCATCATAGTTTCCACCAGTTGCTGGAAGGTCGAAGGTCACTTCAAAAGCATCGCCTGGAGATGGATTTACCATGACATTCTGGGGGGGACTTGAAGCTTCGATGGAAGGAATAAAGGGATATTCATCATCAACACAGCTGTCAAAAGCAAAAATTTATTATAGACAATCACCCACTGGTATCACTTCATATTGACTTAATTTGTATATGCAGGATAGTTTTGTAACACATAGTACATGGGGGTGTTTCACAAAACTTTTCATCAGTGACAAATGACAGATTTTGTTATAAGCTACTGAAATCCTTGCTTCTGATTGGTTATCAGCAGATCTGTCACTGATTTTTGTCATTTGTCATTGAAAAAAAGGCTTTGAGAAACACCACCCTGGTGTATACTGTGAGGTTTTGGAATTATAAAAATGATAAAAAATTAGCGCAGTCTTGCTAAAAGTATGCAAGGTAGACAGAGCCCAAATGTGTACATGTCACTACACGCACGTGTGGCATGAAAGTGCGGTCGACACATTTTGCCCCCAAAAAAGAATGTTCAGGAATACTGAAGAACATTTCAACGTTTGCAGATTTGAAAAAAAGTATGACGGATTGGATTTGAAATAAAGGGTATGTTTTTTTAATGAGTAAGTTTGATTAAAGAGGTTCACATTTTCACATTGTATGCTTGAACAAAGTTTGTGAAAACGGGGTACTTGTATACTCGATAAGCAGGTATAAATACAGAGAAAATTAAAAGACATGTTTTAATGCAACAAGGAGTCATATTATATGTGGGAACTGAAAAATGCAAAATAAGGGTATATTTGCCAAAATTGTAATTTTTAGCATTATATCTTGTCATCAAACTTCTGATAGGGTGAAATCTATAAGTACAATCTTCTAAAATTTGTCTAAAGCTGCATTTACCCAATAAGGCTCATTTAGATATGAAGCAGAAAACCTGTAACTTTTTTCTACATGACGCGAAGTGAAATACACTTCATATTTCTGTATTTCGCAACACAGATCTCATTTTGCCTTCATTTACATGTGTAATAAAAAAGTGTTTTTTGTATTTTTTTTGCAACAGTAGCAGCTTACAATGCCATATCTGAACTAGCCTTTAGGAGTAAAAATTATAGTCACATGAATACAAATATGTGATGAACAAAATCTGCAACTTCATGGTAAAACACTTGGTTTTCACAATGCACAAAGCTATTTGAAATGTCTTTTGGGGTTCATTATCTGTATATTTTAAAGATAAACTCCAGTACTGGTAAAAAAAAAAAAAAATCAAACGAAACTTACACTGAATGTTCAAGATTACAAATAAATGACATGTGCCAAACAATTTTGGAAGAAAATGTATACTGGCTAAGTAATGAGCATAGAAAGACAAGGAAATCAAGGTAGTACTAGCCCCGACACCATGTGTGTTGTCCCATATATAGCTTTCTATGTGAGTGCTTGTTACTTTACCAAGACTCGGTCAAATTTATTATGATTTTGATGACTCCAGAACCTTGCAGTGCACACCAATACTTACATGCTACATGATCAACTGTTTCTGATCCTTTCCACACCTTTTCTTTCACAATGCAATCGCATTACCAGTACTAAAGTTTATCTTTAACTATCATTCAACATCGCAAAGACTATTGAAAACTAATGAAAGGCTAATTTCAGCACCTTATGCTGTATCATTTTAGGATTATATAATACATCTCTGTAATGTACACACACTACAACCGGTGATGTACAAGGCTACTGGAATGCCTTGGCTTTATTTTTCGAAAGTCTTTGTTATTATCTCATTCCCAGTTTCCTGGAAGAAATACTTACGATATCTGAAGTGGATCTCATTCAAGTAGTTGGTCGGGTCACTTGATGGAGCATTTGATGCGTACAGTAGATCTCCTGGTGAGACAGCGGGAAATGAATCGAAGATGATGTTCCCAATATTATTTGCTGGCTGACTACCAAAAATCTGCAATGTACTCCCGAAATGACCAAGTCTTATTTGCTGATTGGAAGATGGCTGGTCCTCGGGCAAGGTGTAAGCAACACTGATAAAGGTTTCGCTCCTTACCATCACCTCTATGTGGGAGACTTTGGGAAGAAAAAGTTAGGAAGAAAAAGTAAGTAGAAACAAGGTAAAGGACTAAACAAATCAGTTCTTCAGCCTCATATTGGCAACAATTATTTGTATATTCCACCCTTTCATAGTTAAAAAACTGAAAGGGATAATTGAGTTCTTGTTTCAGACCGCAAATGCCTTCAAAGTACATGGTTATTGCTTTTATTCCTATTTATGACATTTCTAGTGCCCATTTAGGACCTAACATTTCTATGAAGGTAATTTTAGACCCCAAAATGTGTGAAATTTAGCCAATACGATCATACCAATTTAGCTCTACTTTAAAAAAACATATGGCTACGGTGACCATTAATTTTTAATTAATTACCGGTAATAATAACAATACATGGGCCGGCTGGTTGTGCGTATTATAACCAACACAAAAAAATCAACAAAAAGACAACAACGGCAATGGCTGGAATAAAACGTAGGTGCTATTTCATTTTTTTCAAAGGCTGGTTCAAATTATCTAATATTTGTGGTGGTACACAAATATTAGAAATTTATGGATATTTCAGCCGTTTCTGAACCAATTTTGATCAAACACAGATGATTTTGTCATTTAAATTGTATGTTCTTTCAAATTTGACACTCGTTTTTTCATTATCTCACCCAAAAAATATATTTTGTGTTGCGCCTTCTGCAACAGAACTCAACTATCCCTTTAAAATGTATATGAAATGAAGCAGTATGAATCAAAATTACTAAAACATCAACAGCAAATTGCCAATTTATACATGGAAAAAGTCCAATTACAAATGTTTACACTATATTGCCAGCTTAGAGACTACATTTACAATGATTATTTTCTATTTTCTATTTTCTATCACTCTTATTCATGAACGGCACAAATTACTCCAACAGAAATGGACTCATCTAGTGATGTTTTTCAGCAATGTTTCCACTTTCTGCAGATGTTTAATTTGTCATCAAGAGCATTCTGGATCGGATCAAAAGTTAAAATAATAGGGACTTTTAGATTTGCACGTCGACATAGTGGACTGCTACGTATGACGTCCTTTTAAGGCACACGTACCAGTCCACTATTTCGACGTGCAAATCTAAAAGTTCCTAATGAGAGCTATTTGACTGCTCACAGTCAACAACCATGCCTCTGCCCTGCATGCAATTCCCACTTCCTCACATTTCACCAGAATCCAGAACCCCTTCTAAAAATAATTTGTGCAAAGCCCTGTCTATAGTGAAGAAAGATCAAGGGGGAGTCGATACTGTTTTTACAAAATGAAAAAACAGAGCCTCCATGGTGGTCTAGATTGCCGGTCTTAAGGTAGCCCTGGTCTAAAATCGTTTCTCGAAACCGTCATAACTACAAGATCAATGACATCTTGCGCTGTCGCTCAACTTGTTTTTACTTTTTAAAACAGTATGAATGAAATTAAGCCTCATAATCTCTTTTGATAATTCAGGATAAGATCTGATTGATCGTGACTAGAACTTTATCTTTTAAGCCGATAGTATCAAAATCATGAATTTGTCGCTTATCATGGCTTTGTGAAACAGTTTGTCCAGTTCCTGACATCTTCATAGGTCGTGGACATAGATTTGACTGTCATGGAGTTGGGTTTCATGAAATGACCCCTGTCCGGATTGCCATGCCCTGCGGTCCGGGCCTCACGCAGCCCTGGTACTAAAATCACCTGTCCCCCTTTTAATATCTCTATACTCTGTCAGGGTGGTTCATAAGGGATTAACACATGTACCATTGACATGTATGAATGTTGATTGTACAGGTTTGAAATTCAGGAACAGGTAAATTGCAGGTTAATATTCATTCTCAACCAAAATTATTCAGGAAATTTTAGTACAAAAATTTCTTTGAAAATGCTTCAAAGTATTATAACTCAGATTTTACCACAGTGCATCTGAACCTGAGGGCTCATAAGCAAACCCTTGAGCCCGTCCACAAGGGACTCTGTGCTTCACATAGATCACTTCATACTCCTTCAATGTTTCAATTTTACATGTTTTTCGATTTTCGTTCAACCATTCAACCATTTTCTATTTTCTTTTCAACATTCTATCCCTTATTATGGTACAAGAAACATATTCAAAGAATGATTATTGATGTAAATTACTTGTATTAAATGGGCATTCCAAACACAAGCCTTGCTTTCCAGGTATTTGGCTTCTCCTATTATCTGATCTGTACCGGTAATTGTATTGTACATACTGACCTCTATGTGCTAACTATATTGAATGATAAATAAGCAGGAAATAAACATGAATTTCAATTAAATTCAAATTAACTTAATAAATATCCCATATAAAGTTTGGGTGTTATCATTCTTTAAATACCGCATGTCTACATTCTAAGTGATCTGTTTGGTCAAATTTGCGGGCATGAAATTCACTACGGACTGCCGAGCAAGATGGATCTTCGACTGCACGCAGTAGAAAATGATGCCTTCGCCATAGAGCGATTTAACAAACCAAAACAGAAGCAATTTTTAAAATTCAAGTGATTGTAATCCTAAAAATATTGTAATTACAAGCTGTTTTTCATATACATGTATGACCCTTTGTAGCGGAGGCATAAAAATATTGACCGGGCATAGTATTATGTCCTTTTACGGGCCCGCATGCCTATGGCAATTTAGATACACAGGCGTGCGGCCGGCACTATATCAGACATGTACATGTACACCAAACAAAAATATTGAAAGATCGATCGATGAAAATTGCGTTACAGTACCGTATTTCATCTGTCTTTGAAATTAATTTCTGAGCTAAGGATGCGGTATATAAAACAAATGTTGACTGCTTCTTTTTCGCGTCTCGGTAAAAACCATGGCCCTCTGTAATCTCGCAACTGCGCTAGGCCCCAGTTACTTACATTTGCTAGTTGACCTGATTGGAAGACTTTTCCACTATTACTCTACTACAAATTTGGAGTTGCTAAGTTGAAAATTAAATTCTACAAAATTATTTCCCTCTCCTCCTGTATGATATACCCCGGACGAATCTGGGCCAATAAACACCAGACCCATAGGAGCCGATTCTACACGTGAAGCTAGATGTATGTAGGGGTCAAAGGTTATATCTCCAATAATCATGCACATGTATAAGTAGGGCTCAACTCTAACAGGCACCTAGGACACCGGGTGCCCAAATTCTATGCCCCGGTGTAAGGCGTAGAATTTGGGAGCATAAGATCTAGGTCCGAATTACACAAATTTAAAATTCTTACAAAGGGATCGATCATGCATACAGACTCTAAAAAGTTAAATCCAGACCCCTTTCCAAAAAAGTTAGTGTGGAGCCGTACTTGTATGTGACATTCTAATGACAGTTATTACCATCAGTTGTGCCCGATGTAGTGTCCAGTTGGCCTTCTTCTCCATTGTTCAGTTTAGGTTGTACCTGAATATCATAAGCTGTATCAGGGTACAGATGGATCAGTTGTGCAGACGTTGAGGTGGAGTTCTTAGGATATCCAGGGGCTTCCTCAACAGATTCTAAAGAGGCACTAATGACATAGTAGTCCCAGGCTCCTATCACCGACCATGAGATTTCAAAACCGAAGGAGGTGGTGCTGTCGATCTGGAGGTTCAAGACTCCTTGTCCATTCTGGAAATATATATGAAATACATGTACATGTATTATATATGGTCTTCATAGTATTAATATCAATTCCCCTTTTAAAAATTATGACATATACATGCCAACGATGTGCTATTAGTCAATATTTTAGCCATCTGCAGAGAAGAAAATCTCGCCCCTCCAGTCGGCATCGGCCGCTCCCAGGCATGGAGTGAACAGTAGCTGTCTGGTAAATGGACCCACAGTTCATTACCATTATACAGCGATCTCGATCCCGATGGTTTCTTCTTCCTTCTTCCCATGTCTTTCGCCTTCCTTGGCCCTGAAGATCCTTCATCTTCTGCCATGCTGTGCATTGTGCGATCTACCAATTCTGATAGTCACTGAGGAGCAGGTCTTTGTTAGTTGTTTTTCTTAGCTGGTAATGTCGCTTTCATTCTCTTGCAATTGTCGATAAACATATAACTAGCGCACGTACGTGTTCCATCACAAGCAAGCCGCGCCTAGAGCATCGGCCTGGTCTTACCTCCCGATTCCGCTCGCTTCACGAACGTTCATGCAACAGCCGCATCACTCACGGATGAATATCGTTCGATCACTAATCTTAGACGTTGTCAAAATATTATAGAGGAAGCGCATTTGTATGTTCTCGTTCAAGTTCGATATTTTACAAAATAAAATGTTTAACTGGTACTGTATCCTTTTTTGAGGCAGTCACACACATCTATGATAAGTACTATCGTAGTTCTAGGCCTATTCGTTTTACAAAACTGCTCCTGTCCCCGGCCCCCCAACTCAGTGTTATTTAGGGTACGCGCGTGTTCCAACCGACCCCCCCCCCCCCTTTTCAGCAAAAGTCCGGTGTGTAAAGTCAATACGGGTCGACCTTTTTCTTTTGTTACGAAAAGGACATTTTGGCAACACGCATGGGGTCCGTCCGTTCTCGGAGTGGGGGGGCCGGGCTCCTGTCCCTTATCTGATGACAAGATAATGCATCCGCCTTTTCATACGTGCATGATTTAACCTTGTTTCCCAAGCAGTAAACTCGTCTTAAATCTCTACCAAATAGGTGAATATGAGGATATAAAAAGAAATCAGCGACTGGAAAATGTTGTTTTGTTATTCTTCATTCAAATGGAAACAGAAAATCCATCAAATATACTCATTAACAACAACAAATCTAAGCTCTAACAGGATAGCATTTACGTAGGGATATGAATGCCATTCACTCCCACTAAGCCCATGAGTCCCGTTCGTGACGTCACGGATATAGGCCTGACTCTACATGCACTTCCGGGTTTCAGACTTAGAGGCCCGAATTCACAAAGGAGGTTTGTCGACAAACCTTGGTTTTCGTACGTCATGTGACGCGTTTTACGCGTTTTTTACAAACCTAGTTTGTAAAGAACAAAAGGAGGTTTGACGAAACAAAAGGAGGTTTGAGCTCAAACCTTGGTCTGAGCTCAAACCTTGCTTTGTGAATTTGGGCCAGATAGTTTGGTAGAGTTTACTCCCATAAATTCACCATTCTAAACTTGTTTTTGTCGGTTGGACACCATTTAGTGTTATTCTGGGGGTTAAAAGCTTTCTATTCATGTAATTATCTCAATATTTGGGATTGTCTTAGAATATCAACTTTAACACTTGACTGGATATTGGAAGGTTGCACATTCGACCCCTGGCGAGGCACTTCAATCCCATATTTATTAGCAAGACATTATTCTAGAATCTAGATGTGCCATGTTCTCTCCAAATGGGTATCAGATACTAATACTACCGGTAGGAAAGATCCTTGAATGCTGTGACCACTGACATCGGTAGCCAAGCTAGAGCAGTAGTGTTACTATTCCGACTTCTTGAGCACCTTCTGTGGCGTATCGTGCCCCCCCCCCTCTTTTACGTTTTTCAGTGCTACAATATAAAATATACATATATTACGAATCCCTGCGCAACGTAACGCGCTGGTCTGGCAAGAAAGTGTCCACTTTCAGTGATCGGCCTGCTATGGACCATGGACCTAAGATCTTTCTCCCTTTTTTATCCTCTCAAAATACTTTTTTAAATAATTTATTTAATACATGCGCGCCGGAAGCAGATTGGGATTGGAGGGGCAAACATTCTAGCTAGGGTGCTCATCTGCATCACCACCAATCTTACACGTTACATGTAGGACCCGCAGAATGTTTTTCACAGTGGAGTATTAACGATCAGGTAGAGCGTAAATTGGCGTGGGGTCCAGGGCCTGAGTCCCCCGTAAGCTCAGGGTTTTTTGGCATTAACCCTAATAAGGCCGGGGGGGGGCCATTATAGCTCCCCCCCCCCCTCCACAATTTTTCTGATTGCTCGGGAACGCATATGGATGGCGCCTCGCTGCTCGCTGACTTTTTTCTTTCGAGTCTTGCGCAACTTTTAAAAGAATTTTTTTGAAAATCTGACCTACGGTTACAAGGTCACATGAACTTTTGTCTTTGCATGTCAGCCCGAAAATCGCTCATTTTCGTGATTTGTGTACAAAACATATGGAAAAGTCATTTTTCCTAAAAACAGATCAAACATGGGTTATTGGGTCTTGTTTAAAGTTTAGGAGGTTGTTTTGAGAGTCACAATAGTTGAATTGTAGTAAGAAATGAAATAAAACAACAAAAACAATGAAATACAAAAGTTAAAAAAACAATGAAATACATAAGAAATTATAAAAACAAGGGATAACATAAGAAATAAGCTTACTCTTCCAAATTTTTTTGTCGTATTGTTATTTAGAATGGTCTAATGAATATATGTAATGAAAAAGAAGGCTTAAATATGAATATTATATGATTTATGGGTAAAAATGTGATTTTTATGACTTTATTTGCATAAATTACCATAAATATGCAAATGAGAGAATTTTTCAAAAAATTGAAATTATCATATTATTCTATACACTTCACTTGACATGCGTGCAAATTTTCGCGGCGATCGGCCGAGACGCATAAAAAGGTACGACTTACAAAAAAATTGAGAAAAAATACCGGATATAATGTCATTTCGGCAACATTTGTAATACTCCAATCAGTACGCCAGCGTTCAGGGGCTCGATCATGTCTCCCCACCCTAAAACAAACAAGCTTTAAATTCCTATTCTCTCACAATATTTCCACGATATGCGCATATCGCTAATATAAAAACCTCCATTGATAAATATAGGTGGCATGGCATGCGCAATGAAATTGAATTCCTGAATCCTTTTAACTTTCCTTTTCTTTGAATGGAATTTGATATGTGATTTAATTCAGGTTTTTATTATTGTTATGTTCTTTTGGGTGAAAAATACAAACCATCTTTACTCCTTTACTGCTTTTTTTTGGAGGGGGCAAAAATGCGTTTTGCCCCGCCCTCTCCCCTACTTCCGGCGCTTATGTTTATATGCTATGTGTGTATGAATGTAAACCAACAAATTGCGAAGAGCATGCACTACAATTTTATCATACAAAGTTTAAGTTAATAAAAAAAAGGCGTAGCCTATTAAACGCATTTTTAAAAAAAAACCAAGCTAGCAGTCACTCGTCACATGTGTCTAAAATTGAATTGTAGATTCTCCTGAAGTCTCCAAACAGTAGGCTACAAGCCAACACTCAACACTCAATCAAAGCCAGGCATGCCCGCGGTTACGGAATACGAAAACTCAGAGGCGCCTCTCGCTTCATCACGCTCTGCGATACTAGCGGGAGGGATCGAGGAGCTCGGTGCCCGCGCCCGTCGAGTAAAATTCGTTTCCGACCTAACTTTCCAAGAGATAGCACTTAATTCTTTACCCCTGCTTTACCTTTGCCTTTACACCCGGGATTTTGAAAGAAGGTCGTACACCAAAGATTGGTCACAATGATGAATCGACTCACAAAGAGATGTTCATTTAAATTGAAAAATCTACCAACACTTGTTAATCCGCTCAGCTCAGCGTACTCCGGATCACTCCACCAGCACCGCAAAATGTACACGCTACTACACTATTGTGCGTTGACTTTGTCAAGTTTGTGTATTACCTCCTCTCTTCCTCTTTACCTCTCTCTCACTCTCTAATTGATCTATGTTATGCTCTATGTGTCATTTGAAAGAAAGACGAATAAATATCTTATCTTATCTTGTTTTATCTTATCTCTCTTTATCTTAATATCACCATCAGCGTGATGATTATTATCATTATTGTTATAAGTATTATAGTATAGTCGTAGTGGCGGCGCCACAGGGGGGGCAGGGCTGTTGCAACTTGCCCCTATCATTTAAAAAAAAGGGAAGAGGAAGAGAAGGAGAAAGAGGAAATTAAGGAGGCGAAGGAAAAGGAAAAAAGGAAAGGAAAAGAAGGAGAAGGAAAGAAAAGGAAGGGGAACAGATCGAAGGAAGAGGCCAGGAGGAAGAGAACTATAAAATGTAAATATGTACTATGACGTAAGGGAGGGCGGCCGGGATCGATCGAGAGGGATAGAAAATTAAAAAAAATAAAGATAGAGAAAATAAAGAAAAAGAGAGAAAAAGCAAGCCGAATCAGATGGATTACTGGCCAGCAGACGCGTACGCAGAGGGGGGGGGGGGGGGGGGGGGGGGGGGGGGGGGGGGGGGGGCTTAACCCACCCCCTTCAGGTTTTTTATGTGTTTGTTTTTGGGGAACCCCCCCCCCCTATTGAGTTTGGATTTTTTTTCATTTTTTTTATTTAAAAAAAAAGAAGAGAAAACAAACCCAAATGGATGTTTTAAAAAAGATGACCTTACCCCCCCCCCCCCCAACGGAACAAAATGTTGATCGGTCAAATTTCGGGACCCGGGCCCCCCCCCCCCCCCCCGCTTATTTAGCGGCGGGCTGAGTCGTTGCGAAATTTTTGGGACACCCCCCAAAAATGTCCTCTTACCCCACCCCCCCCCCCCCCCCCCCCCCCCCCCCGCTTAGTCAGCGGCCGGCTGAGTCGTTGCGAAATTTTTGGCCCGATTTCAAAATGTTAACCCCCCCCCCCCTTGAAAAAATCCTGCGTACTGATTTAACCCCATGCCATTTTGTGCCCCCCCCCCCGTAAGAAATTCCTGGATCCGCCACTGATAAAGAGTATTGAATTGTTACATCTACCCTGTACTTACGTATGGTAGTGAAACATGGACTTTAGCCTCTGATACTAAAAAGCGTTTGGAAAGTTGCGAAATGCGGAAGTTTTTAAGAAGAATGATGAAAATCCCCTGGACTGACAAAGTTAGTATAAATGAGGAAGTTCTTACACGAGCTGGAGTGCAAAGGAAAAGGATACGTGAGATGTTGATTAGGCAGTTGAAGTTACTTTGGATGGACAGTCTGCAGAAATTGTTGGAAGAGAGAGGAGTGAAATAACTGGGAGTGGTACTAAAACAGAAGGCTAGGAGCCGAGGGTTGTGGAACAACATGATCGCCAAAGTCAAACGATATGGCACTTAGAGAGAGATAATACATAATAATGGGGGGGGGGGGAGGGGAGTAGTGTAATATAGTGAAACTTTTTCTTTTATATTAAATTAGTTCCCTGCATCGACATTCTTCCCACCTTCTTTACTCTAAAAACTCATTAAAATCTCACTGACACAATGCACTGTCATAAATTATGGTTTTATAATTGTTCACACTCCAAACATGCCGAATATGACCTGCCAATCACTCTAAATTGACTTCTGTTTTAATCATTTAATTTTACGTAATAGACACAACTTCTGATCATTTAACTTTGAAGTGTGTCAATATCTAAATAGCAAACTTGTTGCTTAATAGTAATAATAGTAATTACAATACTACTGCTACTACCAATGATACTAATAATAATGATAATAATAATGGTTATAATAATAATAATTATTATAATAATGATATTAAATGATAATAATACACAAACAAATAATAATAATAACGATTATCAAAATCTGTTCTTGGATGGCGCATATCACATTATGACACATCGTCCCTATACGCTTGTAAATAAGATGGTATAGTATTACCCTGGCTTAATAGTGTGGTACGGTATGTCACTGAAACAGCTCCCTTAGGACTCTTGTGCCAAAATATTTTTTTTGGTGCATTTTTTGCATTTTTGGATTCATTAATTGGGGTCCAAGCTATCAGAAATTGACGAGGTTCAAATTTTCCCGAAGACACCAAATTTCCCTATTGCGCTAATTTATATAAGCCAATTTGGCGCCCAAATATGGACCCCCCAGGAAGTAAAGGAGGGGTCTGAAAATTTGAACCCCATCATTTTTGGCCAATTGGGACCCTTTTAAAGCCAAACCAGCAACGACAAATTTGGCCAAAAAATCCTACGGGATTACATACCATACCGCACTATAATCTCTGGTAACCGCAATCAGCGCTCATCGCCTTTCAATGAACAAATCCTGCCATCAAGATGATGTCACTGCAGGGGCGTACGTAGGGGGGGGGGGGGTGTTTTGGGGGTTAAACCCCAGTGGCGGATCCAGGGGGCGGGGGCCCGCCCCCCCCCCCCCATGAGAAAAAAAAATCATGTAAAATCACGTGATTTTTACCTTTTTTTGGGGGGGGGGGTTGGGCCCCCCCCCCTGGCGCTCAAGGGGGGGTGCAAATTGAAAAATTTCGAGGACCAAAAAAAAAAAAATGTGCTCATTATACATTATAATGAAAAAGGAAGACTGTCGGGTTGGATAATATGAAGTTGTTGATTCTTTTGGAATGTCGACGTGATGGCATGAGGAAGTTCGTTAGAATTTAATCGAAACATAAAACAGCCTAAAAAGAAATTATACAGGTCATGAACTTTGAATATAATCAAAGCCAAGGTAACATTTGAATGCAGGAAGATTTGAGACACAGTAGCTATAGGTTGTTTGTCGATGTTACTGGTCATAGATACCTTTTTTTTGGGGGGGGGGGGGGTGGGCCCCCCCCCCCTGGCGCTCAAGGGGGGGGTGCAAATTGAAAAATTTTCGAGGACCAAAAAAAAAAAAATGTGCTCATTATACATTATAAATGAAAAAGGAAGACTGTCGGGTTGGATAATTATGAAGTTGTTGATTCTTTTGGAATGTCGACGTGATGGCATGAGGAAGTTCGTTAGAATTTAATCGAAACATAAAACAGCCTAAAAAGAAATTATACAGGTCATGAACTTTGAATATAATCAAAGCCAAGGTAACATTTGAATGCAGGAAGATTTGAGACACAGTAGCTATAGGTTGTTTGTCGATGTTACTGGTCATAGATATAGCAGTGGCGGATCCAGGGGGGGCCGAAACGGCCGCGGCTCCCCTATTGGCGGCGCAAAAAAAAGGAAGAAAAAAAAGAGGAAGAAAAGAAGAGAAAAAAAGAAAGGAGAAGAGGAGAAAAAAAGGAGAAGAGAAAAGAAAGGAGAAGAGAAAGGAAAAAAGAAGAGAAAAGAAAATAGAAGAGAAAAGATAAATAAAAAGCCCCCTCCCTCCAACTCCGGGGTCGGAGGGACCGAATTTGTGTTACCTAAATTTCCGATAAAGAGTTTCACGAAACAAAGTCCGGCCCGCAATACACAAAAATCCGCCCGTACTGACTTTACACACGGAGAGACAGAGGGGTGCTTTCAAAGAGAGGGAACATACATGTGCGTACCCTAGATAACACTGAGAGGGTGAGGGGGGTGGGGAAAAGAAAAGTCGGTGAGAAAGGGGTAAAGGCAAGGAAATGGCGCTAAGTGACAGTAACGACAAATATGGGAAAACTGTAATCGGGAGATTAGGGGACATTCCAGAAGGCTCATTGGCAAATGTTATTGAATAGAGGGGGGCCGGGCCGGCCGCATAAAATCTCGAGCCGCGGATTCAAAGTTAAACGTTAAGAACAGCCCCTGCGGTCATCAGTGGGGTGGGGGGGGGGGGCGGGGGCGGGAACTCGATTCAGACAAGGATTAAGAGTCGAGAATGGTACAAAGAATCGTCTCCTTTTCCATATAATTTAATTAAACGTCAAAGCTTTAGCGCTACGCGCTGGAGGGGGGGGGGGACGGGAACTTAATTTAGACAAGGATTAAGAGTCGAGAATGGTACAAAGAATCGTCTCCTTTTCCTTATAATTAATTAAACGTCAAAGCTTCAGCGCTACGCGTGGGAGGGGGGGGGGGGACGGGAACTTAATTCAGACAAGGATTAAGAGTCGATGACGGTACAACGAATCATCTTCTTTCTCTAATATTTCATTAAACTATGAAAGGCCAAAGCTTCCGTGCTTCGCGCGGGAGGGGGGGGGGGGGTGGGGGTGAATTCAGTCAAGTAATAAGAGTCGAGAATGGGTGCAACAAATCTTCTTTCTATAATAATTAAAGAAAGGGCAAAGCTTCCGCGCTTTGCGCGGGCAGGAGGAAACTGAATTCACCCAAGGATTAAGAGTCGAGAATGGTACAACGAATCGTCTTCTTTTTCTAATAATTTAATGAAACGTCTAAGATTCCGCGCTTCGCGCGGGAGGGGGGGGGGAGGGGAACTGAATTCAGACAAGGATTAAGAGTCGAGAATGGAACAACGAATCATCTCCTTTCTCTAATAATTTCATTAAACTATGAAAGGCCAAAGCTTCCGTGCTTCGCGCGGGAGGGGGGGGGGGGGGGAATGAATTCAGTCAAGTAATAAGAGTCGAGAATGGTGCAACAAATCGTCTTCTTTCTCTAATAATTTAATGAAACGTTAAGCTTTTGCGCTTTGCGCGGGAGGGCGTAAACTGAATTCAGAAAAGGATTAAGAGTCGAGAATGGAACAACGAATCATCTTTTTCTGTAATAATTTCATTTAACTATAAAATGTCAAAGCTTCCGCGCTTTGCGCGGGAGGGGGGAAACTGAATTCAGAGAAGGATTAAGAGTCGAGAATGGTACAACAAATCGTCTTCTTTCTCTAATAATTAATGAAAGGTCAAAGCTTCCGCGCTTCGCGCGTCATGGGGGGGGGGGGGGGGGAGGGGGGGGGGGGGTTAGCGAGCTACCCG